CAAGCTCAAATATACACTCGAACGACGCTGCACATTTTTTATCCAACTGCACCACGATCAGAATGGGAGCGGCCAGCCAGAGCACCTGCCCAGGATTGCGATTGACACAAGTGGAGAGTCATGCAGGGCTTGTGGCAGACAGTTGCTTCCAAAGCTGCAGCACAAATGGACTTTTCCGAAACCCCGTTCAATGTCGACTCGAATCACTTGGGCCAGATGCACAATTTGCTGTGCTGTACAACATCTGAGCTACCGTGATAAATTTCAGCAACATGGCCTGTGACCATGGACGCATTCCCATAAAGAGCGGCCGAAGCTCAGTTCTGAGCGGCCATTCCATGTGCATAAAAACGGTTGCAGAAAACCAATTCCAGGGGCGTTGGCTGCCGACAGTTCCGGAGTGGCCAATCAATCCCGGAGTGCCAGCTTCCAGGATCGGTTTGTGTAGAACGGCCCGCAGCGTTCACAGAACCAGGATTTGCCACTTCCACTGCGGCTCCAGCCGGGGGTCGACCAAGGGTCCTTGCATGTGCGACCACATCTCACCACGTTGCTGCAGCCAAACGTGGAGCGGCCGTCGATGATGAGACCGTTGTCGGGAACGGCCATGAGCTCCGCCACAGACGCGAGGTTGATGTGGACGGCCTTGAGCTCGACGCCCTCCACCACCTCGCCTGGTGGTTGTCGTGAGACAGCCACGTGGCCGGAGAGGCCTTGATAAAACTTGAGCCGCCCCAGTGGTACACGGAACTCCAGCACCACGGCCATCATGGATCTGACCAGACACTTTGGGGAGAGGCCGGAGGGGCCTGGCAGGCCAGAAGAGCCTGGTGGGTCGCGAGCGGCCTGGTCGTGCTGTTCGTCGACTGACCGCACCCTTGACCACGCGTCGCCCAAAGAATCGGTGGAGAACAGACCGTGGGCGCCCCCGTGCCCGTTCGGGCCGGAAACGAACTTCCCTTCAGCATGTAGAACGGCCAATGCTAGTCTCCAGGAGGTACCATGATACCTCACCTGGAGCGGCCCTTCTTGGTCGTCGACGGAGCGGCCGAAGTCTACATTGAATTTCACCCATTCCCGCGCACCCAGCTGAATATTGCATGAATAAGCAGAGAAGCCATCTTTGGTGGGATGGGCCTCGGCGGAAATCAGCCCAGGTAGTTGTCCGAACGGCCAAGACATGGCGCACAAAAGGCCAAGTCAGGGAGAGGCCCTCTAGCTGCAAAAGCTATCCTGGAGGGGCCTTTTGGGAGGAGAATGCCAGCGAGCCAGTCAAATTGTTGCATTGTCGCTGTTTTACAATCAAGAACCTCTGGCTATCAGGCAATCCTGCAAAGAGCAAACCCTGCATGAGTCTTAGCCGGCCCTGGCCTCGGAAGGCCGTCTCGACGGAAAGGTCGATGTGAGGATGGTTCGACCTGAGGCGGCCACAAGTCATCATTAAATTTGCAGAAACATATCACCGGGTTTAGGGTTTAGGGTTAGGTTTGGGAGGGCTTATTAAGGGCTGTAGGGTGTAGGGTTTAAAGTTAGGTTTCGGAGAGGCACGGGCTTATTAAGGGATGTAGGGTTTAGGGTTAGGTTTCGGAGAGGCCTGGGCTTATTAAGGGCTGTAGGGTTTAGGGTTTAGGTTAGGTTTCGGAGAGGCATGGGCTTATTAAGGGCTGTAGTGTTTAGGGTTTAGGGTTAGGGTTCGGAGAGGCCTGGGCTTATTAAGGGCTGTAGGGCTAGTGAGCAAGGGTTCGAGGCTTGAGGTGCTTGGGGTTTAGGGCTTAGGGCCTTGCCTGCTCCCAGCTCAGATGCCTTGCCCTCCGGGCGTTTGAAGCTCGGGCCGTCCTCGGACAGCAGTCGAGCCACGGCAATGGTGGCCGCTCGGCGGCCAAGTGCGAAGGCGTCGAGTGGGTCATGTCTGACGCGATCTGGATCGCAGCTGACTCCATTAATCAGTGAATATGCCTTTTTGAAAGCATTCCTGCGCTTCTTTCCATGGGTTTGCTGCAGCGCCGGTCAGTCCAGGTCAATCACATCTGACGAAGACGGGGACCCATGGGACTCATTTGTCGGGTCGTCCAGTGCGTGATTCTGGAACGCCCACAGAGCCAAGAGCCTGCGATTCCTTCCGTAACCAAATGCCGAGCTCATCCGACTGCCACGGCTTAGGCTTCTGCCGGTAGGCGGCCTGTGTCACCCCTGTCCCAGGGCTGGCATCTGGCATCTGATGGCTGGGAGTTGTGGCGTCTCGTGCTCTTCAACGCAAGCGGCTGCGTTAGCTTGGCTTCCATGCAAGTTTGCTTGATTGCGAACGCAAGGCCCTCTGCGGCTTTGGCTCGAGGCAGGACATGGGTTGGGGCTAGATCAGCCAGTAATTGGCTTTCGCTTCTAGTTCGGGCCTCGAAGTCTTCTTTGGGCGCAGCTTTGGGCTTTAGGCCGGAGTCGATAACGGTAATTCTGGCACAGTCTCCTGCCACAGCGGGACTGAGCCAAAAAGACCGGGGGCTTCGGGTCTCGACAGGCTCATACAGCTTCCGTGTTCTGAAAAGAACAGGAAGCTGTTTAGTTAGATTTAGGGTTTGTGGGTGTAAGTAAACTTAGGGTTTGTGGATTCAAGTAAACACCAAAGTTTAAACCCTGTACCCTTTGCTACCAACAAGCCCTAAAAGTCAAGAATATGCAAAGCCCAAAACAAAAACCTAATACCCGAGAAAGAAATCATCCTTATTATTATTCCCTTTAAGTTCAGAGCGACCCTTTCCCTTCAACTAGGTGGTCCTCGTTTAATTATTCAAAATAGTTTACCTGATTGCCTGCTTCTGACCCCCACAGTCTGAACCCTGTCACTGGTAGTGCCAGGAAGCCTTAACTTAAACTCAAGAAGACCGAAGACTTGACAACACCCAAACCCCCGAGAAAGATATCCTCAATTGAAATCCCTTTGCTTTAACAGACCCTGCTAGGAAGCCTTCTAAGATGATTTATGTTGTCGTGAAATCGTGACTTCCCAACGACACTATTAAATAATTTAATATCATTTTAAAGCATCACCTGAGCGGCCTCCGGGCGCTCATAACCGTCGGGCCTGCCAGGCAATTGAAGCAGCAACACAACCCACCCAACTTGCAATACGTCGCAGGGCCAGCCTTGCCAGCAGATCGTCCAACCTGACACGGGCGACAACAACAAGCCACAGCTGTGCAGATGTAACCAACCCAACTTACAGTAACGTCGCAGGGCCAGCCTTGCCAGCAGATCGTCCAACCTGAGGGGGGGGGACAGAAACAAGCCACAGCTGTGCAGAAACATGATCGGATCGCACCGGAGTCAATAGCACGCACAGTTTTCGTGAGATTTGATTTGCTGCTGCGGTCGGCAATAATGACTGCCCCTGAGCGGCCTTTGCCAGATGAGAAAGCATGGGCACATATATGGCAGGCCCAGAATCAAAAATGAAGCCTGGCCAGGCCACCCAGCTCACTCAGAATCAGCCAGCTTTTGGCGCCTCTCGCTGTACATGTTGATCGTGTCATCCAAATCCTCCAAGCGGTCTTGCTTCCTGGAACATGGGTAATATTCTGTGCGAGTAAGAAATCGAAACCGAGTAATAATCTAATCGTTGTCTTCTACTTTATTAGGTGGTAATTTGGGTATCCAGGCCTCTTCTGCTGAATCTTCTTAACCACCGCTCTCACATCGAGTGGCTCGGAGAAACGACGATCTGCAGGGATCACAGAGAGGCCGGCACGGATGACCTTGCCTTTGTACTCCGTCTCTAGAGCGGCCTTGGACAGAAAGGCCGCCAGCTTCGAATCCTCTCCTCTGATCGACCAGTAGTCGCCGAACAAGGACGACTCGAAGGGCATGTTGCTGGTTGTAATGCCTTCGTCGGGTTCCAAGAGAGATTGCAGGGAGAGGCCAAACTTGTAGAGGAGGACCTCACACTGCTCAGCATCATGGTTTTCTTTTGTGGCCTTCTGCTGAGCATGGTAGGCCAGAAGGCTCGACACTGGTGTTGTGAAGAGAACCCACGTTGTGCCTGCTCCATCTTCCTCTTTTCGTGCGGCGGGCTTCGTGTTTTTCTGAAGGTATCTGAAGAGCCCCTCGTGGACATCGGATTGGCCCGGAATTGCATCTTGAGAGGCTGTTGCCTTGAGCACCAACCAGAACATCATCAGATGATTCGGTGGCACCTCCTCGGGCTGTGGAGCGACCTTGTCGTCCGTGGAGAAGACCTGCTCACAGTGGAGATAGATGTCCTTGATCATCGGATGGCCCAACAGCTGTACACTCCTTGAGGAGTCGCCCTGAACGACCATCGGGACATTGAGGTGGAGGACCTTGCCACTCGGCGACAATTTTCCGCTGGCGAACGCTTCCTGGATTTCTGGGCCCAGCCTGACCTCCAAAATCGCCATGGGCTTTTCCAGCGTCCGAGCGACCTTGGCGGAGGCCAGACGATCGTCGTTCGGAGACGAATCAGACGGCGTGAAGCCGAGCGACCGCCCCAGCTTGAAGTAGTGAGCCTGGTAGCGAAGTCATGATTTCCAAAATGCAGACTTAATCCGAATCTACGTATAGCAATGCAAAGTTGAACCGAGCGGCGAAGAGGGCCTCGATCTTGGACTTGTAGAGCACACAGGGAGCCGCCACCTTGAGATTCAGCAGCTTCTGCTCTGGGATGTTGGGCACGGCCGCAAAGTAAGAAGTCATGGCTCCCTGGAGTCAAGTAAGATTGAGTTGAAACCAGAGCTTCGGATTTGAGCAAGGGGACAGACCTGCGGGAAGAAGGATCAAGAGCAATGCCATGCAAGCAAACACTGACAGGCTTCAGCAGTGAGCCATTTAAGCCGAGGCCACGGCCATCACACGAAGGTCAATGTCAATCACACAGTCCAGACTCGAATGGAGAGACCTGGCACGACAGACATGGAATAAACCCGAGCTCTGGATTTAAAGTCATGCCTCTTACTTGCCCTCTCTGTCCCTGTGCAGGCTCCCACGTATTTTCACTTGAAATACACGCCGCTTACCTGAGCGGCCCCACTGATGCGTTGGGCCCTCTGGAGGAACAGAGCGAGATCGGCCATAGTGTTGATGGATAACGAGTTCGGAGAGGTATCGGAGCTGCCTACCACTTTCCATCTCGAAGTGGATACAGAAGAAAGCTTCTGCAGGATCGCCACCATGTCCCTATGCCGCGCCTCAAACCTCTCGGACAACCTCGCCCTCATCGTCACGGCCGAAATGGAGCCTTCCAAAGAAATAGTGGCATTCCAATTGTGTTTTTGCCAATCGGAGAGGCCAATTATGCAGCCACCGAAGGCCACAGCTGCCAAGGCTGCACCGAACAGAACGGAATCGGCCGATGCACATGGAAAACCTTGACCCACAGAAGGCACCACCATCGCCCGAACAGACTTCGCGGCTTCGAAAGCCCGCACAGCATCAGGCCGCTGAAGTACTTTCAGCTTGGTGTTGGGAAGGGCCACAAGGTCAGGGCCCACCAGATTCAGGATCATTCCAGTAGGTTGCTCCGACGCTGTTTTCGGGAACAGATTCGCCTTCACAGGCCTTGGGATCTCAGCCGGACGGCCCGTCTTCTGGAGATGCTGTCGCTTCTTCTGGTTGGTGGCTCGCTTTCTTTGTGTTCCGACCTCGAAACTCGCAAGCTTCGCTGTGCATTTCTTGTGCTCCTTCAACGGCTTGTCGAACTTCCATTCCACCTGGGATTAGAAGGACCATTGGATTTAAAGTAGGGGTCCAATGCAGAAATAATTAATCCAATAATTCAACTAAAATAATTTAATTTAATACTGCTGCACCAGCCTAGTCTCCTGTCGGTCCTTGAGGCCCAACATGAGCTTGCCCTTCACACGTGAGTTCGCAATGTAGGTACAGGCAGCAGCTCTGCAGGATGCAATGGTTGTTTTCTTGCCCGGGATCTGGCCCACCTTCGGCTTTTTCTTGACATGGCCCTCAGCAGCAGGAGCTTTCGGAGAAGCCCGTTTGTAGACCCCGAAGCGTCGGCCGTAACGAGCGGCCCAAAGCTCAGCGCATCTCAGCGTCAAAGGCGTGGCTGCCGCAGCCACAGTGGCCTACCCAGATATCGGTTCAAGATTCAGGGTCTGGGCTGATATGTTATTAGCTATTAATGGAAAACTTCAGATCCAAACTCAACACAAGACAGAAAGCGGCCTTGAAGCTATCGTCGGCTCGTTGGCTCGGGACGGTGCAAAACGAGGCCTCGGAGAGACCTGTCCACGCCACACGTGTGAGAGCAATCACGGTCTGGTCGTCGAGCGGCCCAGCATGGCTTTCCAGCTGTGTCTTCACACAGCCCAGCGCTCTTTCGGTACAGCTTGTCCCACTGCCGTATGCATTGTACGCATGGAAAACCTTGAGAAGCTCGGGCGCCTCATGTCCCAGGACCGGCCGCAGGTCTTGGCCCAGCAGTTTCGACCACACTGGCCGATTGTCAATGTACATGGACGACACAAGTGTTTGCTGGCAGTCACTTTGACGAAGCAGAAACTCCACACAGCCATGGAGTTGCTGCCAACAAGCTTCAGCATCACACCCCAAACCTCGACACAAACGAACGACCCGCTTCCTTGCAGTCACACGGAAAGCCTCGTACTGATCTGGAGCGGCCTTGGCTGTCTTCCAGGCCTTGAGGTCAAAGACACACAAGTCATTGACGAGGTTATCCTGGAATTCAGCAGAAAGCCTGGTCAGAGAGGCCTTGCAGACAACTTGGAGGCTATCCAAAGCGTCGAGGACCTGAGCCTTCCCATCGGAGGACCAGAAATAATGGACTTTCTGGTTGTACATGATGGGAGCGGCCTCCATGAAGTTTGTGATAGCCACGAATGTTGCCGTGCAATAGGAGTGACCTGCAACATGTCGGCCTTCGGGGGGTTCCTCAAGGATCCGCCCCTTCATGAAAAGCTCCTCCATCTTGCGGGTCCAATCCAGAATGATCCGCCGGAATGTAGCTGGATCGCGAGATGTCGTGTCAAACATCCGCACCAGCCTTGCTGCTTCGCAGCCGAAGTCAGCGGAGAGGCCGGCCACTGCCGCGTGGCTGGGAGTCATTCCCTCTAACCTGAGCAGGATGGTGTGGTCAGGAAGAGCTACAGAGAGAGAGAGAGAGAGAGAGAGATCAATACCTTAAATTAATCCCAGGACATCCAAACGATGAGTTCCTGAAACGGCAGTCGAAGAAGCCACTGAGCGGCCATGTCCCGATCCTTCTTCGGCAGCTTCAAGTCAGAAGCACGAACGGCCAGCAGCAGGCTGATGCTAGTCAGAAGGAGGACGTATGCCAGCTGTGGTCCTGCCTGGGACTCGTACCTTTGCTTCGCATAAGAGAAATGCCTCAAAATGGTGGAGAGGCCTGCTGCTTGAGAACCGTTCTTGGCCACGACTAGCCTTTGTGCAGCCTCCAGCTGGGATCGAAGAACAAAGCTGTTCTGGATCGTAGGAACCAGACTCGTTTTGTCTTTCCAGATTCTGGTATAGAATTCTTCGCAGGAGGTCTCTCGAGTCCATGCTTCCTGTGTTGACTTGCGTGCAGCGTGCGCTGCATCGCGTCCTATGAAGAGAAGCCCAGGGAACACGGACTGCACATGACGCAGCCCCTTCTGAATCGACGGAGCTCCATCCGCAACGATGCCAGTCAGAGTTCGGGACACTTTGGCGAACTCCTCCTCGTTGTCCAAAATCTCATGCAGCATCTCGGACACAGACTCTGTTACTTTCTCACAGTAGTCCTTTTCTGTGTCATAGAGAGGCCTAACATCCTTGCTATAGAGCTGCCGCACACCCAGAAGGCCTTGCTTGGTCGTGATCACCTGCCTGTCCGTGCCACCGTCTACTTCTGCACCGGAAGCCTGGAAATTGAACAATCGCCAGTTAGCTTTGTCATCCAGACTCAATGACCACGAATGTGCACGCAACAGCGTCTGCCGCACATCCTCTGTCAAAGCTTCCGCAATGACGAGTGCTATTTTCTTCACAGTCTTCCTGTGCAGCTCCTCGTCTGCTCCATCCTTCTGCCGCAGGTTGGCCATCTGCAGAAAGTGCAATGTGCCACGCACTTGAGCGGCCGCCGAAAAGGACAGAGAGCTGCGAACCTGGGCGTCAGGTTTGTCACCCACAGAAAGAAACCTCTTGTTGCACCTGTCACCTTTGTACGGGAATAAACACTGTCACTTAAAATGAAGCCGGAAGCAGTGCGCCAGACATACATGTAGTCACCGATTTGAGGAACGCAGCCACGGAGAAGCCGTGTTTGCTTGTCGAATACCTGCGTGTCCTCTGGGAGGACCTCCAGCAAAGTTTCGGGTGGCTGGGACCAGAAGCGAAGCGCACGCTTGTGGACACGAGAGGCCGCATGGAGGCGAAACAGAGAGGCCCCCATGTCTGGAGTGCGGACCTCGTACCGTCCAAACTTCGTGCTGTAAGCCGCAAACCGAGACTTCTGCCTTTGCGAAGCTCGTGGGGCCAGCTTCTCGGCCTCCTCGCGCAGGTGAGCGCAAATGGAGCAGCCCACTCCATGCCCTGCCTTGTGCGACAGCCATGTAACCTTGACTGGCTTGCCCATGACTGTCAAGACGTTGAAGCCGTACCTGATCTCGTGTGTGAAACGACTTTTAAAATGTAATAGGATTGTCATCATGTAACAATAATCATACCAGCAGTGTGTTAAACTGTTCTGCTGAGATCGTCCGTGTCACTCCCGCCGCCATTTCTCCCCAAACTGATCCCATCGCTGGCGGTAGCTGCGATGCTTAGGATCGGCCTTGGGCTGCTTGGACGAAGTGGCCTTTGACTTCTTGGGCGAAGTTTCCTTTGACTCTGTCACAGACGGACCAGAATCAGAAGCCAACTTCCGCTTCTTCGGATTCTCAACACTGCCACTGGCATAGATGCTGTCGAACTTGCCCATGGCTTAGCCATGGCGACCGACAGGCCCACCACTAGAAAAAAACAATCTGGACCTACCGTGCCTTCACATTGACCTTATAATACTTACTAATTTGTGGCCTGAGCATATGAAGTGGAAAGCCAACCCCGACACGAGGGTTCCCCAACAGACACCCAGGACCCCAATTCGCTGGGAGCTGCCCTCGAGTCTGACACAGCAACAGCAGCAGCATCCTGATTCACATGATGACACAGCAACAAAATAGCAGCATCCTGATTCACATGATGGTGGCTGCAATGGCGATGGCCGATGAAGAATCATCAAACATGTCCGAAGGGCCTTCTCCGGGCTGGGGGATCTGCCTGGCATAGGCTGTTTCAAGACCTGAGCACCAACATTGAAAAGCCTCCTTGCAACTCAGAAATGAAAGTACAGGGCCTTCGTGGTGGTCTTGGACGACAAGAAGAATGCCTCACGACAGCCGGAAACATGCCGCCCAGTGGTTTCAGCAGCGATCACGCACATGCAAAAGCCAAGGGCCTCACTGAGGACAGCAGACCTCATGATGAACAATGACAATTTCATGCCAAGAATGGAATGCTCATTCTGGGACGGTCCCATCAGAGTGCACAGAAGGACTTTTGTTTGGTCATGTTGCGCTTCCTGCTGGGAGGAATGGTCTTCAGAAATGGCATTTAAAAGTTGAGTGCCTCAGAGAGCCCGAGAAGCCAAAATCGCGAAGAATTCCACTGCACTCGTCATCTGAATGACCGATCTGTTACAAATGCCAGCTGTAACTTTGCGAGTAAATCCTTCGCGTGCTTCTAAAGGCTGGGCACTCACTGCTCCGGCTCGTCGCCGTCGTCCATCTGCCTCTTCTTTCCATCCGGATCCCAGACCTCACTCTTCAGCTCCACTGGCTCAGGATCCCCGTCTTCCTCCAGCTCCTTGGATCGTGGGTATTTTGCTGTACATGCAACAATGGCCTACTTCTGCAGCCAACCAGAAAGGTGCTAACCTCAAATCAAGTCTCTGTCGAGAAGATCTCCTGGAGAGCCGTTGCTAAGGTCTCCGAAAACATGGAGTGACCTGTGGTTGTGATGAGCCGGAGCGCCTGCTTGTCCAAGTAGTTCGATACCCAGGCATTGTGGCTCTGATCCTTGCTCAGGCCAACATAAGAAAGGCCGTCCTCCATCGCGGCCAGCGCGGCCTGTCCACTGCCAATCTCAAAGTCGACGATGAGGGTCACCCCCAAGCTGCTGTACAGAGAGGACCAGAAGCTCTTCGGCTTGCTCTCTTGCCAGAACAGAGGGAGTCCTCGCTCCATGGGCCAAGCCTCCGGAGCGTCCATGTTGCCCAGGATGCTTTCCTTTACCTCCGGTTTTATCTTGGGGAGAGACCCTGGGAAGTTGAGGCCGGACCAATGGCTGTAGTGGGAGGAGGACTCCATGATGTTCTCCAACTGGTGCTCCTAGCCAGGCACGTTGTTCTGATTTTGAGGCTAGGAACTCATTATCAATCATATTTCTGCTTTTTTGCCCCAGGTGAGGAAGGTTTTCAGACAAGGTCCTGCAAGTACATCCTGGTCTTTGGAAAAGAACACTCGAGAAAGGCCACCTCCCTGGTGTTGGAGGAGAAGGGGATCTGCCTGGAGCCGACCGTCCCTTCATTCGGCCTGCCACTGAAGACCAGGAAGATCCTTGGCAGTTGTTTTCAGGTTTAGCTTCTAGGCTAGCCAACCCGTCACTAGATGAGCCGAGATTCTCGGAGCCACCCATCTTGGACTCCAGGTACCCCCTCCACGACTTGGAGCGGCCATCGAAGACCATGCTGCAGAAGTGATCCTTGCCGGACAGCTTCTTCATGCAATCCAGCCGTGCATCCACCTCTGTCGGCACAGTCGTGGGCTTCGCCCACGTCCCCACCCAGGGTTTCCCCTTGCTCTCCCCGGCCAGATCGGCCGCGAAAATGAGGAGGACCCTGGCTTTGGGAGAGGCCTGGTGGGCTTTGTAGAGGGAGCAGCCACAGACCATGTCCAGAATCTGGGAGGAAGATCGGCCCTTGCTCGTCAGAACCCGCAGAAACTTCGCCCGATGGGTTAAGCAGGAACTCCACAGTGTCTGGCGTTCTTTCTCGCGTTTCTGCCGCTTTTCGGCAGCCTTCTCCACATCACCCGGGTCGCTCAGTGCTCGCACCAGCTCCCGAAGCTTCGGGGGTGGTGCTGCAAAAGAGCTGCTGGCCTTGCTTTCCAGAGCGACTGTGTGGAGAAGCTCCATCTCGTTCATGAACTTGGAGATGCCCTGGGTCCAGCTCGTTTCCTCCTGCCAGGCAATTGGTGTACATGTGGCCAACATGAGCTCTGCCTGGAAGTTCTACAATTCCTAAATTCCTAATAACATGGCCTCAACATGTATTCATCCGCCCGGCCTCCTCGGAACCCACGAGGAGAACTTCCTTGAGTGCCTTGGCCATGTTGTCGGAGGAGAGCCAATGGTCATGGAACTCCTGCTCCATCTCCCCGCTCAGCAACTCGAACAGAAAAGTGGCCAAGCACCTGGAGCTGGCCGTCAACTTGCCCACATACTCCTCGAAGGGGGAATCACCGCTCGTCTCGTCCGGAGCGGCCTCCGTGCCTGTCTGCTCCTTCTTCTCGTCGTCCACCATCTCTGAGTCTGCTCTCTCAGAATCCTCGGACACGATCTTGGGCAGGAGCTTCTCAAACGAGTCCAAGTCCAGGAACGTCTCGGTCACCGTCTCCAGCTCTGACCGCACATTGTCGTCCTTGCAGATGCCTGGAATGAGATCGGCAATCTGAGCGACCACAGCATGCTTCAAGAAGACCGACATGCCCCAGGTCACGCTTTTCGACTTGCCACCATCACCGAGGTTATCGGCGGTCACACTGGACGGCTCCAGCCATTCGCGCTGGAGAGCAATGTGAGTATACTGGAGGGCCCAGGCGAGCACCTGGTCAAAGCCACGAACAAAGACTCACAAAGTACTAAATAATTTAAACTACCAACATAGTGTAGTTTTAACAAAAGCCAAGTGACATCAGAACTGGGGTCCTTCTCGATCTTTTTCATGAGGCTTTGCAGAGTGCCCAAGAAGCGGTACAGCTTTGTGTATTCCTTCGTCAGGAGCTTGCGGCCATGGACACGTTGGAGGAGGCAGAGCTGTTTTGCGACCTTCTCATCGAAGAGATACTGCAGCCCAAGCCTAAGTTACACGACGGAATTGTTCGATCATAGTTTCGTCATTTATTAGTGATCTCAGGAGCAGAAGGAGGAAACAATTCCGAATCAGCCGAAGTACTTGGCAGCCTTCAACAGAGGGTCTTGGATGGTCTTGCCATCATAGTAGAACACCTTGTTGGATTTCAGCCACGCTACCATATCCTTGGCTTTTCCTGTGTAGGACTCGTAGACCACAGAGAACCTAGGTTGGCCATGTAAGCCTCTGACACAAACCCTGTATTAACCTCCTCTTAGGGCGCATGGAAAATTAAAAACAAAATACCAAAGCACCACTGTCTGGAAACTTCGAAAGCCAGGATGTAAAAGTGTCCTCCATCAGAGAGGCCTTCATGTGCTCGGTCGAGAAATTGATGGCCATCTTCGCCAAGGCCAGGCCTAGGCAGAAGCACTTTGCACACCCACAACATTAATAAATTGAAATCTGATTCTTTATTTTAAATTACTTAAGCTCGAAAGCAATACACAAAACGTTCGAGACACCATCTGGGACGATCTGCAAGCGGATCGGGATGCTGCGGGAGCAGGCCATCAACTTGTCCAGGTGCGACCAGTCCTGTGCAAGAAAGGCCCGGGAGATGGCGAGCAGGAGGGCCCAGCAAGGCAACAGAGCACCTTGGCAAACGGAGAGGCCTGTTGGGAAGTCGGAGGACCAGTCGTGAAGACCCGAATCTGCTTTGAAGCGGTAGGCCGGCACGATGATGTTGAACGGCACGAAGCCGTTCTCAACCTTGAGCGGCCCAAACCCTTCTGCAAATTCGCATAACGATTCCCAGTCCAGATTGTCGAAGGGAGTGACCCCCCTTTCATCAGGGTACAGCTGGAGCCACCAAAGGCAGCCGGCAGCCTCGTACTGATTGTGCTTCTGCAGAGAGGCCTGACAATTCCCACAACTCCAAGCCTCACGGAAAGAAGCAGAAACCGACTCGTCCAGACTTTGAATCTTGCCGGGCTCAAGAGCGGCCAAGGAAGTGCAGCCACCATACCCAGTCACGTTACCAGCGAGGCCCTGCGGCAGGCTCTGCTGCAGCCAAGGGATGAGCCGTGACATCTCCTCCCAGACCTGCACAGAGAGCGACCTCTTCGGCTCCTGCCATGCCTCAGCCTTGCCAGGCACAGAATGATCGGAGAGTCTCGGCCTCGTTGCTGGCAGTAGCTCTGTGTTGTCTTCCATCTGCCGCTTGCCCGAACACCTTTTAGATGGAGCAGCCACCTTTGCTGCCATGGCTTCAAGAGGACCGTTTAACGGTCCGACCCACGACGAGACTTGGAGCGGCTGCAGCAAAAGGATTCGGCTTTAGCTTTAACTGCGACCAACAGGAATTTGCAAGCTCAGGCAAGAAGTAGCAACAGCACACCCGGACACTTAGGGCCTCACAGTCAGAAGCAGTTTGCAGCAGCTATCCTGTCTGAAGCCTGAGAGCTCAAGAGAAGGCTGACCTGAAAATGTCTCCCTACAGAGACAGTCAGGCCTTGAGCTCTAAACTGCAGGAACTTCTCTGGGGTTCTGGCTTGGGAGAGACCGAAGAGACACCTGAGGACAACACACAACTGCAGAATTGGCATTCTAATTTTCACCAAGGGTTATTGATAACCTTTGGTGAAAATTATGGTACTGAAATGTATGTATTTCACTTTTAAATAAAAGTGAAAAAACATATAAGGAAGTGAAAAAAAGAGTTATTGATAACCATTTTCACCAAGGGTTATTGATAACCGTTAGTGAAAATGTCTATGGATGTTGTCTATAATTTTCAAACAGAGATGTCTCAAAGCTGGATAGTCTAAGCTTTGACTTTGCCTGAACTCTCAGCCTGCTAAATCCGACAGTGGTGAGCTTAGCTGAGGGGGTGGCTTCTGCTGTCTGCAGCTCCGGTGCTGGCCGGAAGCCTCAGCCACTTTGAGGCAGTGGTGCCAAGCAAGAACTGCCACTGTCTAAGAGAACCACAATGGCATACACTTTGTTTCAACAGCAGCTCATCACACCCCAGTGGCTAGGCTCTTCTGCAGAGGGTTCCGCCTACCAGTTGCTCTGACAAAGCTTCTCTGTCGAGGAAGCACAGAAGCTTAGTTTGAGGTCGTCTCTAAGGACAAAGAGAAGCCTGGTGCAGCAACTGGAAAGGCCTGAACATCAGTATGAATTAGTCAGTCTAAGGACAAGAAGCCTGGTGCAGCAATTGAAAGGGCCCTTGATTAAAGGCAACTTCACGATAAAATATTGCAATTTTTTGATTGAGTCCTAGAGGGGCCTTGAAAAGCTTCTGATAGGCCTCTGAGATTCTTGAATCTGAAAGAGATGTGTCACTGAAATGACTCTTCAGACGACCCTGTCCAGACACAAAATTGCGGACAGGATCGTCACACCGATGCAAGGCACGGACATGCAGTTGCCAGCTGCAGAAAGTGCTTGCTGCCAGGAGAGGCCCTCGTGCATAAGACGAGGGGCCTTACAGGAAAGGGACTGCCTGGTGGTCACAGGAAGGCCATGGGATGCGAAAGCCTCCTGTGGCGACAGGAGTCGCTGAGCGGCCTGCAGGGCCACGTGTGTTGACAGTCACAAAACAGTAGCAACAAGGACTCAATCGAACTTGGAATGAGAACCCATGGTGTCCTGACTGTACAGCATCGAGGAGGTCAACAGTGTAGGCAGAGCAGCCCCACGCTTGCACCCACGAGGCCTGTTAACAGGGTTTTGGGACAAGTCGACGACCTCCAGGTGGGGAGCGGCTTTCCGATAGTTCAGCAGAAACTTGGCCTCAACCAGGAAGACGACAAGAAACGACACATGCACTTGAAAGTGTGCAATACTGGCCTGGCTGCTGGAGAGAGACTGCCGCTTGTCAGGGGACCACCAAAAGTCACGCAGCACGTGCTTGCTGTTGGGAGTGGCCCGCAAATTTTCCACTATTTTGGCGAAACTTGGTGCACTGAGATTCCAAGCCACTCGGTCCTGAGAGACAGAACAAACACAAACACACACACACACACACACAGACACACACGAACACAGACACACACAGACACACACACACACACACACACACACACACACAAACACACTCTCGCTATTACAGGCATAACTTGTTTCAGCCTGGTGTCTGTGCGCCATGCAATGATAAACTTACGTGTGCGAGCTGCCCGGAAGCCGAAGAGCTGTGGGTCGATGACAACGGACTGCATCTTCCACACGACCTTTGTCTTGCGACGCAACTGCTGCAGGAACGCTTTTATGTTGTACGTGGGCACGTTTTCCACAACAGCACAGTCGAAGTCCACAACGTTCTCGCTGAACGTCCTATGCACCGCGTACTTCGGATCGGAGAGGCCCTGCTTTTTGCCCATGATCGAGAACATGGTGCACGGTGGGCCTCCCACAGCGATCTTGAGACCTTAGGGCTCAGAGAGCGAAGATCTTGCAAAGGCAATACATTCAAATTCCATCATTGGTTAAAAAAGTCGGTCGAGGCACCAGGCTTCTGGAGAGGCCAGGTCGGGCATTGACGACCATGCTGACAGCACCAGTTGAGAGGCCTTGAAGTCTGGAAGTCGAGGATGTCCGGGCTGATGCAAGAACTTGGATAAGTGCTCCTGAGAACCTCCTGGCATCCCTTATTGATCTCACAAGACCAGTGAAGCCTCATCCGTGGCTTCCCGAGGTTAAGAGCGGCCAAGCTCCCTCGCAGACTCCAGATGGCCTGTGCACAGACAAAGCAGCAGCAAGAAGGGCACACTGCAACCGCACTTGAGAGTAGACGCCCTTGCTGAGCCACCGACACTCTCAGCGCACCCGACACCACTGAAGAAGCTGGCGAAGGTCACGTCAACCGCTCTCAGTTCGCACCGAACAGCTTCTGGGTGGAGCTGACACACTTCTTCCACCAGTCGTACTGGCCCTCCAAGGTGGAGTGGCCCAAAGGAGCATCTGAGAGCGGCCTCGCTATCGTCGTCCACCGGTAAAACCTTGATAAATTTGCTGAAGGTCTCAATGGTCATGGAAGCAAAAAACACCATACACAGAGACACCCAACCAGCACTACCAAGTCAAGGTTCCGCTGCTTCTGGGCGGCCACCTTCATGACCTTCTTCCGGTTCCTAGGAAGGCTCCGTACAAGTGGTGCTGCTACTATAGGCTAGCAGCACAAAAGCAAGCCCGGGTATGTGGAGCTGCCTGGTCTCCGGAGTGGCCTTGGGCATGTTTTTCCGACCAGGAGAGGTCCTGATGGATCAGGAAAAAGTCTAATCCTGGGAGGACTACGAACCTGAACATGATGGGACTGTCCTTCTGGAGGTCAAAGGGTGCCTGAAGGTCATAACAGACGAAGGCCAGCACCTGCGGGATCAAAGCATGACAACAATAATGACATGATTGCGAAACTTCCCCAAATGCCTTGTGGTCCGGACGGGCCACAGCCACAGAAAAGCCCCACTTGAGAGACCCAAAGCTGCAGCATGTAAGACACTGAACCGAAGCACAAAGTCATGTGTTCAAGCTGACCTGCTTTGTGCGAACTGCTGAATAACTGTGCTCCCCACACAGAATCGTCAATGTCGCTCCTCAGCAGGCCTCGGCCAAAGAGGAAGGAATCAGGCATGACCCAAGACCGACAGGATGCTTGGACTGGCAGGCAGTTATTGCATATACTCTTTGCTTTTTCTTCCCCCTCCATAAATGCACACCTCGTCCCCTTTACAAGGCATGACAGCCAGACGAAAAAACAGGAACGGCCTGGGAACCCCTAAGCACTGACCTAACAGTGCTCGATCCTGTACAAAGCCTCAATCCGCAGATCTGTTAAAGAACGGGCTTCACTAAGCTTCCTACTCTCAAACTGAAGCGGTCACTTTTCCTTGTGGGTCACTGTGTCCGCTGGTCTCGAGCCTGGCACGTCGCGTGTGCGTGACGGCTGTTCCTGTACATTAACTGCACTGCACTAACTGTGTTACTGTTCCTGGCAAGATGTTTAACACCCCGCCTTCGGAGTTAGCGAAAGTTCCTCGACTGAGGTGACTCCGACTTTTCCTGTCAACAGTAAACACACTGCAGTTCCTTTTCACTTGCAAAACAAACACTCTGCCTCATCGCAAACATATGTTCCTATGTTCACTCGCAATCCTCTCCAAGGTTGCTCGACTGTACAAAAGACGTTCCTTTACTATACTCAGATCACCACAGAAACAAAAAGGGCTGTGCCACGGTTCCTGTGTCCTGCTTCTTCTTTCCTCGGCTCTCTGGCCTCAGTACTGCTCGCTGTTCCTTTGCTTCACTGGAAGGTCACTTCACCGTCGTCGACCTTGTAGACTTTTACTCCTTCTTCTTCGTTGGTGACTTCCTTCTGTTCCTTGAGTTCTTGTTCTAGCCACTCTGCACGCTGCCTTGCTTGTGACATGCACTTCTCTTTTCCTTGCTTGTCTCTTGATCCTGCTTTCCAACCTGTTTCCTTTGATCCGGAATACCAGTACCACTGCGTCTTGGCTTCGTTCCACTTCCACTGGTAGTTCCTGTTCTGGAAACCGTAGACTGCAAACCAGTTTCCTTCAAACTCTCCTTTTCCTTTGCCCTTCATGAACGATTCTTCGTTCACTGGTCCTTTGGCGGAAAGTTCTGGGTCGTCCTTTCCTCCTTTCCTTTGCTGCTGCTGTGTGACACTTGGTGGCTCCTTTCCTGTTCCTTTTCCTTCTGGCTTCTCCTCTTCCTTTGCTGGTGTTGCTGGTGCGTGTCTGGTTCCGTGGGTGCCTGCGACCCGGCTGCTGATCCTCTGCTCTCAAGCTCCTGTGTAAGGCTTGCAATTCTTTCTTTATCCTCTTTGCGTTCCTTCATCATCTCCTTCATCATTTCTTCAAGCTTCTGGATCCTGTCTGCTTCTCCTGATCCTGTTGCTGTTGTTGCTGCTGCCTTCTTCTCTGCTTCCTTCTTGGCAATGTACGCTGACGATGCCTTTTGATCCTCCTCTCTCTTCTTCCTGGCTTCCTTCTCCTTTCTTTTCTTCTCCTGTTCCTTTCTTTCCTTTTCCTCTTTGGCTGCTGCGGCTGCTGCTTCTGTCTCCTCCTTTTCCTTTGCCTCTCTCTCTGCTTTTGCTTTGGCTGCCGCTTCTACCTCTCGCCTTCTCTCGGCGGCTGCTGCGGCTTCTGCTTTTGCTGCTCTCTGTCTCGCTTTTCCTGCTCTTCTGCTGCTTCTTCCAAAATCCTTCTTGCTTTGGCAATCTGCTCTTCCTTTGCCTTCTTCTC